TTCAGTAGATCACTTGCAAGACTGAGAACAAAATGGGAAGAGGGGGGAATTTTTTTCCTTGCGCTCAGACTAACACTGACTAGCGTCAACTGGCCGTAGCTCATCTGTACCCTGGGTGGTGGATGTGCACATTTCTACTATCACCTGAATCGGTGGCCCTGCTGACTGAGGCTCTATGCATCTTTGCCATTGTGCCTGGATTCTGTGCTCGGAAGCAGGGCGCCTGGAAGTCGCCACCCATATACTCCATGGTCTGCATCAGGTTTGTCTGGCTGGAAATGGCTGCCCCGGTCCTATACTGTGTTCCGGGGGTGCAGTCTATGGAGGCCCCTGAGAGGCCCCCGTGGAACGGGCCCACCAGGTCTTGAGACCCTGAGCTGTCACTGTTTGGCGTGGGCAGGATGTTGTTCCAGGGTGGCTGCATGTAGTGGCTGTTACTGTAACTCATGGGCATACCGTTGACCGGAGGAGATGGAGTTGGTTTATCAGTAGAGGACTTCAAATTGAAGGGCTGCGCCATGCACAAATCCTGCGGGTAGCCCATATTCTTAGTGAGGAACCCTGGTCCAACTAGACCGTCTCTGGGGAGATTCTTGCCCTGGTGAGCCGCTCCCTCAGGAAGGTGCTGAAGGTGTGCAAACTGGTGTTGCCCCCAAGGGCCCTGCTGTCGTTGTTGCTGGGGCAACTGTGGCTGGGATTGCTGCTGCTTCATCTCACTGTGGTAAAGAGGCATCCTGTTCATGGCAGCGATGTCAGGCAGTGGCAGAGTGGGAGCAGAACCACCTTTGTCAGAGTTACCAAGGATGCAAGAAGGCGGAGGACCCACACTGGGATGGGTGCACACCCGAGAGCTCGCATTGATGAGTTGGTTGCGGCTGATGGGACTGGGGTTGGCAATCTGTCCTTCGCACATGGAGGTAGAGCCCATACCAGCCCGAGCCTGGCAGAACTGGTTGATCTGATTGACGATGCTGCTCAGGTCACTGGGCCGGTTCTGGTGTAAGCTGGCAGCCATGGACAGCGGGATGGTTGAGGTAGACACAGTCACATTGGGAGGGGCGTCGGCATCGGGCAGCTTGCGTGGCATCTGTAAGCCTACCAGGGGGGGCTGTAAGACTCCGGGGGCCGGAGGGCCAGCGCAAGAAGCCTGTGGCATGGGCTGGGATTGAGAGAAGCCCTGGGAGTGCTGCAGGTTCACAGACTGCACCATATCGGGCAGATGCCGGAGTCCTTGCGGTCCAGGCAATTGTGGCTGCTGCTGCATGAGAGTCTGTTGGTGGTTTAGGGCGTGGTGTGGTACTGGCGGTTGGTGAGCCTGGCTCTGATGCAAAGCCTCCTGGTGGGCCAGGCTCTGCTGTGGTTGTAAACTGCTTTTCTGCTGCAGGGACTGTGGATGGGCCTGCAAGGCCTGAGAATGAGCGAGACTCTTCTGGCCTAAAGGAGTCTGAAGGTGTGGAACAGTGTGAGGAACATTTAAAGTGCTGGGATTGGCGTAAAGCCCACTGTGCGGGTTCATGATGAGCTTAGGGAGAAAACGGGCTCGGCCGCCTTCGATGTCCTTGAGGATCCCTTTGACGGGGACTTTGACGATGGCCAAGAGGCCCGTCCGGGTGTTGACCTGAGGTGGGTAGGGGCTGTAGCGCTGGCTGGAGGTGTCGAGACCGTTGACGGTGCGGCGAATATGCTTCCTCTGAGGTACTTTCACGCTATTGGGGAAGATTTTTATAGTCAGTGGGTTATTGGCAACTTTCTTAGCATAGGCATCCAATTCTGCTGGGGTAGGATAGTGTGCTGATCTCATCCTCTGTGTAGTGTCCCCTGTGAGCAAGAGAAGGCCAAACGTGAAGGGTAATGCAAGAAATGTGGCGCTCATATGATAGCAACTGCTTATCAGGGCTCTGACAGAGCAGGGTCAAGAGGCAGAGCATCAGTTTCACTAACAACGGGATAAACTAGGTCAAACGTACATGCAGACTAATCAGAACAAAGCTCATTTTGGTTAACGGCTGCTTACATTTCTGGAGTCCAGTGTTCATCTGCGTGTGCGAGAGAAGCTGGAGAGAGGGGTTTGATACCGGCAGACAGGCCAGCATGTCACAATAAGACTAATGCAACATTGGACTCTCACTCCTCATCACACTGCAAAGGAAACAGTCACGTCAGGAACAAAAACGGATTCACATCATTCATCTCTTAAAATACATGGTGTAAAAAAAGAAACATTGGCTATTTTCTCCTCCGAGGGCATCATTAAAGAGATCCAATTTTATGTGTAGATGTAGGTTTAATGGAACACACTGTGCAATGGGACTTAATGAGAGTAATAAATTATTACGAGGAAATTTCTAGTTTAATCAATGGCGGTTTGCTGCAACAAAGCAGCAGAAGCGATAATCAAAATGTCTTAGATTAAAAGACCTGCAGACTGAAAATCAGCACACAGTGAATATCCCAACAAGCTAAGTAATATTGAGTAGAGCATGCTAGTCAACAGATGACATGATTTACAGCTGGCCGCAAGAAAACGGCAAGCACAGAAGTGCACAAAGGCCCTACCCTTGCTAATTCACCTGAACATCCATCAAACGCTGTAGCTATAGATCTCTGTAATTGCCTCATTGTAGCCATTTATTTAAATATCATGCATTCAAGCATGACCTTTTTAAATAGCTCTCTGAAACAGCTGGTGTCAGGGCCCACGGTGCACACCCTGCAGTTTGAGTGTCAGGAGTGCGATGCAAACGCATTCTCCCGTCTGCCTGGCAGGTGCCCAGGGGCACGGCAGGGGATGCGGCAACAGGACCACAGGCCACTTATTCCCAGCTGACTCCTCCAATCTGAGATGTGCAGGTGTCAAAAAGTGCAGTTAAGACATAGCCTGACATGTTCTGAGCTCCCAACCCCCAGCTATTTTCATCAGGGAGCTGCTTTAATTTTTACACTGAAGGAGGTGTTATCAGCTAAAGCTGAGACTCACAATGCCTAAAACATCCTGGATTTGTTTAGAATCAGAGATGACCCATGCATGTCCTGTTATATCCCCAAAACGGACCACTGGATTGGGGGGGCGGGGAGTTGTTTATTTAGGTGGCGCTCTACAAAAAAAAAAAATCTTTGAACCGAGTTCAATATCTAAACCAACTCACAGTTCAGAGCTCTTACAAGCAAATACTGTGCAGCCAAGCAGTATTCTTGGCTAACTTTTAAGCTGACACACATTTACAGTCTTAATTAAAAACAACAGGAGCTTTGGAAGAGCTGAGTTACATTGTCAAATATCATAAACACAATTAGCCAAGCATAAAACCAAAGCACTTTGAGTTTAAAGTACAATTTGTGGTTGCCACTTCATCCACCCTATAATAAACCTTCTAGCCACCAAACTTTGCTTAGCCACAAGCTACATGCATTACAATTATTCCAGATCAACACAGACACACTTACACAATTTAGGGTCACTGTAGCACACATCTGCCCTTGTAGATAAGATGTATCCGGTTGGCTGAAGGTTTGTCGTACTCATTTAACGCCCAGCAAACTACCAACCAATCTAAACGGTGATCAGAGTGACATCTGATCCTGTCTTGGTACCTCTGCCTCTACACTTGCTACAACCCCTAGCATATAGCCTGTGTCTTCTTTGTGCGAGCCACTGACCGGCTTTCATCTCACAGCTTCTTAAAACCGCATTAAAATGATCAGGTGGGAGGTGTCGAAAGCGAAACTTACTCTCTGGTTTCGGGATGAGACGTGCGATTATTTAAAAGAGCATTTTGCTAGGTTGTTCGGCACCTGTGCTCTGCTTGTGTCGGATAAAGCGCTTGTCTAGTCACTGCTGCTGCCCAGTGCCCACTGCTGCAGCCTATAGCCGCGCATGCGCAGTAAGCTTTTCCCACATGTCTTCTTCGCTGAGGTCGGGGAAACGCGACGTTCATTTGGGCACTTCGCGCCACCTACTGAATGGGAATTACACTAGGTCACATTTTTACTCACATTTTACTATTATATTATATTATATTATATTATATTATATTATATTATATTATGAAAACAAGACCTAATTTTAAGACCCTTAAGTTTTTTTTTTCATTTTTGTTATAATTGCATTAAAATATGCTGTAATACAAGTATTTTTGTTATGATTTTATGTCACAATGCAAAAATAAATGAATAAATAAATAAACCTAAATATTTGTTTAAAAATTTTTTTTTAAAAAGCCTATTTTTAAGACCCTTAATATTTTTATGTGCCCTGACTCAATATTTGGCTCTATTGCATTAAAAATGACTGTAATTCAAATATATATTTTAAATAAATCGGACCAATGTGTCATTTGTATTTCTGTTTTTATGTCACAATTAATATTTTTAAGACCCTTAATATTTTCATGTGTCCTGACTCAATATCTGTCTCTATTGCATTAAAAATTACTGTAATACAATTTTTTTTTAAATAAATCAAACCAATATGTCATTTCGATTTCTGTTTTTATGTCACAATAAAAAAAAACAGCCTTTCTCATCGTCATTGTCATGGTATATCATCATGTATATATCAAAATAAGTATAATGGTCTTTTTTACCATCTGATACCATCAGTGCACCATAGTACCACAAAATTAAGTGTTTCTTTATCAATTATAAAATGTATAAATGCATAAAATCTAACCCTGATTCCACTAAAATTAAAAAATAAATGGCGACAGAATATAATGGAATAAACATTTAAAAGCTAATAAAACATAATATCACATGTAGGCTACAACACGTAGATTATATCCATGCAGCTCATAAAAGCACGTAATGTGCAGACATGAATACAGTCAGCATTTACAGTAATCATGACAACACCGAGTCTGTGTCTCAAAACCTAGTGAGCTGCCTACCTAGACAGCATTTTTGGGCCATCACAGGCGCGTTCGAATCTCAAAGGTGCTGTTTAGGCAGGGAGCTCGCTAGGTTTGGCAAACACAGCCATACAGTATCACGCACCACCCTTCCTTCCTGTGGTGGGTGTCGCCTGTGTTGACAAACATTTATTCTCTCACTAGGGCGGAGATTTGTTCATTTTACGAGTCAAAAATCTGCTAAATAAACGCTTTATTTAATAGATAGGAATACAACGGAAAGGATTATTGTTTGGTATTAAATGCAAGTATGGGTTGCTGCCTGACTGTTGGACCAAATGAAGCGCTCGTTGTGTCAGGTATCGTGATGTGTTTTACTACAGCTTATTATATCGGGAGTTTATTATTTGTATGCAATTATTGCAGTCATTCTTTAATGAAGTGTGCATATCAATGTTTGTTTTCGCAAGTACTATGAATTATGTGGTAAATAATATCATCCAGTCGTGTATTAGCTAGCTAACATTACAGCCGCTGTTAGCTCAGCTCATCCGACTGTTTTAAACTATTTTAGTCGTTTTTAACTTATCATATTTCCGAAACATACGATAAATTCGAGCGTAAAAGTATTCAGTTATGAAACTCAATTTTTGCTATTAATTCCCCCTGCATCCCGTTACGCTTTAACCGTGATTTCATATTTCATATCTCTTTACATGAATTCATAACTAATTAACGTTATACTATGATTTATATTCTCGAAACGGCCACTTTGATGCTTAACAGTGATAAGTTGTGGCTACATTGTGCTGAATTTATGCAGATTTCTTCTTCAAAAAAAAAAAAAAAGCTGTTTTGAGAAATGGCAACGTAAAATACTATGTTTTTTGAGCATTTACCATAGCAATAGCACCCTTACAAAAAGTGCTTTTACTGTTTTTTGCTATAGTGATGATATCAGATAATAATACCATGGTATTTACATGGTACTCCAGGGTATCTCCAAGAATGCTATAGTACCATAGTATATCCAAAATCAAGGTATTACCATAGTACAATTTTGTATGCACATATTTTTTGCCTTTAGTACTATGGTCTAGTAAAAGTTTATTTCCATGTGGTACCATGTAAATACCATAGTACAGGGGTTTGTAATCTTTTATACGCCACAGACCCCCAGATATGATCATCTTGGTACGAGGGACCCCCATCTTAAAATTTAAACGGCAGCTTCATATTTTCACGTATAAAGACCAAATTTATATTGTGAAAAAAGATTATAAATATTTTATTCAAATTATTTATTCATTTAGTTCCTTTAATATTATTTTATTACATTTTTTATGCTGTTTTTGTCTAAAATTTTCCACAGACCTTCTAGCACTCCCTGGAACACAGTTAAAAAAAAAAAAAAAATCCAAAATAAAACCATAAAAAAAAAACTTGAATTAAAATAAACTTAAAGTTCATTTTTATTTCACCTAGTTGCCAAGGCAAAATTTTTTTTTTTTTCATTTAGTTTAACTTGATATTAAAATGGTACCAAAATAACTAATACTTAAACTGAAATCAAAAGTAATTATTTAATTAAAACTATATAGATATTTTGAAAAAAATAAAAAATAAAAATGAAACAACACAACAAAATTACAAAAAACTTTAAAATTGAATGATAAAAATTTAAAATAATTCAAAATCTATAATAGTATCTCGATGCTAAAATAACACTGAGGGTACCATGGTATGACTTGTTTGTAAGGGCATCTATCATAGCATCTTCTAGTTCATTCAAAGTATGAATCACCATTGAACTCAGTTCACACAGATCCTGTCCTTTTCTTTTGAGATTATCACTGCAATCACAAGTGTGTTTTCTCTCCTAGGTGCCTGTTGTGGGTCAGATGCAAAGACGTATGTGGTGGGAGGCTGGGCGTGGGCATGGTGGCTTATATCAGACACACAGAGGTAATGCCAGTCAAATACAGTAAATGAGGATCACATTTCACTGCTCAGTGCAGTAAATGTAGTCAAAGTTCACTATAATAACAACACACAGTCAATGTTTAGCTGTAACTGTAATGCCCGACCTTAGAAAACTAAAAGGCACACCTGACCAGGTGTGTTTGTCAAACCGGTTTGGCTGTATAGAGGCTTTCAGAGATTGCTTTAAGAGATACTTTAATCATATACATCTGTCGTTCGGATATTGATGTGGTACTATTTCTGTTGGCTTCTTAAATTTCCATGATCAGCTGAATTAGTTGATTTATGAGCTGATCTGATGTTTTTCTATCGAGCGTTTGCTTCATGCTTTCCCGTGAACATCTCTCTGATTGCATTCTGAACTTCCTGTGAGCCACTGCTGTTGTCTTTGGCACTCTTGTCCCCATTTTTTGAATTCTGCGACGCTAACAAGCTTTGGAAAATCAGGTTTTTCTTGTCTTAGGCATTGTGTAGTTATACTTGAAGGTTGTGTTTAACTTTGGATATTTTTCCCCCCAGAATTACACTAGAGATTATGACACTACAGCCTAAGTGTGAAGACGTGGAGACAGCGGAGGGAGTCGCTATTACAGTTACAGGAGTTGCTCAAGTAAACACTCTCTCATGGACCACTCACAGATCATTTACTGTTGATTTATTCTTAGATTTCCATCATTTACTTCATTATTGCAGTCATTATTGAAGCTTAGTATCAGTACATTTTTGGGTCTTGAAAGTTATAGTATACACTATCGATCAAAAGTTTGGTGTCAGTAAGATTTTTATTTATTTTGTATTTTTTGGAAAGAAATTAATACTTTTATTGAGTAAGGATGCATTAAATTTATCAAAAGTGACAGTAAATACAATAATAATATTACAGAAGATTTGTATTTTAAATACATGTTTTTTTTTTAACTTTCTATTCATCAAAAAATCCTGAATGTTTTTTTTATCACAGCACAAATATATTAATCAGCACAACTGTTTTCATCATTGATAGTAATAAGAAATGTTTCTTGAGCAGCAAATCAGCGTATTAGAATGATTTTTGAAGGATCATGTGACTCTGAAGTAATGTTATTTTAGGATCATTGAGATACTATTATAGTTTTTATTAATATCTTGAATTCGTTTTTTACTTTTTAGTTTTAGTAATTTTGTTGTGTGGTTTTTGTCATTTTCATTAGTTTATATTGTTTAAAAAAATAAATGTCTATATGTGACCACAAAACCAGTCTAAAGTCAATGGGGTATATTTGTAGCAATAGCCAAAAATACATTGTATGGGTCAAAATTATAGATTTTTCTTTTATGCTAAAAATCATTAGGATATTAAGTAAAGATCATGTTCCATGA